GTTTCTAATTTAACTGAAGTGGCCTGGCGTCCTTTATGAATGTGCTTTTCTCTAGCTCTCCACTGTAATATAATTGTCCAGATGCCCTTCTCCCCTCTTTCCTCCAGCATTTCTCATTCCCTCCCTCTCTTTCTGTTCCTAACAGTCCCTCTGAGACTGATCAATTGCCTGCACGCTGTTCTCCCTTTTGAGTCACTCAGCTAGATGATTAAATTAAAAGGACATGACAGAGCCAACATGATACATACATACACTACCCAAATGTTCAAAAGTTTGGGGTCAGTTTTTTTTATGTTTAAAAAAAAAGACTCTTACGCTCATCAAAGCTGCATTTATTACATTAAATTATATACAGTAAAAAAGAAATATTGCGAAATATTCGTATAAATTTTTATTATTTTACTATATTTTAAAATGTAATTTATTCCTGTGATGATCCTTCAGAAATCATTCTAATATGCTGATTTGGTGCTCAAGAAACATTTCTTCAGAACATTTTTTCAGGAAAACCATTTTCAGAAAAAAATAAATTTTCAGGATTCTTCGATGAACAGAAAGTTCAAAAGAACAACATTCCTTTGAAATGGAAATCCTTTGTAATAATAAATAAATAATAATAATACATTTATTTTTAAATTAATTAATTAAAAAGTTAATTAATATTAATTTCTAATAATAATAATAATAATAATTACTTGCCCCAAACTTTTTTCAGTTACGTATATACATGAGGTACTATGACAGTGACTTCACTTAATTATTGATCAAAGGAGGGAGTCATGTAAACTTACAGCAAAGGTCTGGGATATAAAATACTTTTTGGTAGGTGAAAAAATATATATTTTAGAATATAATTTATAGAATATATATTTTAGAATATATAAATAGAAGAAAGTAATGCATACAGGTTTGGAAAGACATATAGGTGAGTATATCTGAATTTTACAACTGAACAAGATACTGAATTCATTCTTATATAATGCCCTCATTATTGTGTACATTTTGGCTTCATTGGCCTCTCGCTTTAGCCCAAAAAAGTTATTTTAGGTATTCAGAATTAGAACTCAATTCATTTAATTCCACTAAGGCAATTGTAAGGAAAAAGACTAGACTACCCTGTCTAAACATGTACATACACATAGACTATACACACACACACACACACACACACAGGGTGGAGAAGCAATCTCTTTGCCCTGTAATCACCACTCCTTACATCTAACTTTATCAAGATCTGCCGGACACTTCAGTGTGTGTCTATTACTAGACCATGAGGGCCTGGTTCCATGTAATATGCCTCTCTGCTGACCGTCTAGCCTTCATCTCTACATCTGATTATGACCTCACAGAAGCCTCACAACATTTGCAGTGCTGTCTGGGAAGACGAACAATATCTATGTCAATAAGAGGTTTAGCACAGTACAACAAGATGTGTTGACACTTAAGACTACTTGGTGGATGTGCGTGCTAAAATTGGGATTAACACTCAAGTACCCAGAGGTGTAAAGAGTACCTGAAAACCATACTTGAGTAAAAGTACAGATACCTTACAGTGAAAATTAATCCATTACAAGTTACAAGTCACCAATTCCAAAACAACTTGAGTAAAAGAGTATCTGATTTTAACAGTACTTAAGTATTTTAAAAAGCTTTTTTAAAGCTTTTTAAAAGAGAGAGAGCGAGAGTGAGATGAAAGAATATATTGAGACTATATTCTTATATTGATTAAATATATTGAGTGTGATATTCTACACTCTGTTTTCCATCAACAAACATTAATGTCTCTTACCTCCTCCCCTTCATCCACCTCAAACACTTGGTTGGGAAGCTTTTCCATCTTCATGCCTTTACTGCAAGACAGAAAAAGTAGCTTATGGCAAACTTTGGAAATAACACTGCAAAAGCTTTGGCAAAATGTGCAAACTTTGAAATACCAGGGCAGTGTCCGGAAGTCTCCAGAGAAGGCCTCGTAATTATAGTTGATGACGTGCCAGTTGGTGTTGTACATCTTAATGCACTGCCAAAGAGCGTAAGCATTGCTCAGTTACTCAATCGCATGAGCAGAAACGCATCAAAATATGAAAAAGAGGAAAATGTGATCTCATATTTTATTAGTCTGGAAAGCTGTAGTCTTCACTCTTATTTTGGCATTGAGAGGTTCTTTACCTCTTTGGCAAACAGGCTTTTTGCTTCTTTCTCAGCATTTTGAGGAACTGAGGGAACAATGGTCCTCCTTTGACGTTGAATCTGTGCTTCCTAGAGAGCCAAATAGACAGACAGACAAGACAGACAGACAGACGGAAATTAGATTCATATGGTGGCTGCACAAGGATAAGGACTAAGTTTGAAAATGAGTCAAACAAATAAATGTCAGGAAATGTGCTTGTGAAATGACTCACTGATACATCATCAGCTGGCCACACCAGCAGGTCTCTCTGTGGATCACTGTGGATCTGAGCTTTCCTCTGGAACACCACATTCTCATAGTCCAGTGGCTCGATGATCTTCGGCTGCTCCTGCAAACACACAGGATTGATCAATGAATTTACACACAGCTGCCCTCAAAGGGCCTGTGGTGTCTCGAGTCAATGTTTGTGTCCCTCTTTATTGCTGCTACTAAACATACTAAAGCAATGCCCACTGTTATTATTCAGATTTGCTTTATCTGTTGTGCTTGTTAGTGTAGGCCTAGTTTACACAGATTTGACAGCTTTGCCTGTGAGTTTATTCATTCACTGCCCCTCAACAACCTTTCTACAAAGCAAAAATCTGCCACAGGATTTCCGATTTCTTATTTTTACAGCTTTTGAGTTTGGTTCAAAGTTTTCTCCCAAGATTTATCTTTTCAAGTTCCTTCTAAAAGAGAATCACGTGTTAAAGCTTAAACACACTCCTGACTCAGCTGACATGCCTGTGTCACGGTCTGATACTCATAAAGAGTTTAGCCCACGGAAGAGAAAGTGTTTTCACCAAAAACAAACCATGTGGGATGGACAGAACACAAGGGCAGTGGACTAGATTAATCTTTTGCACTCTTTTCACCCATGTTGCACTGTATGGGAATTGCCAAACAGATGACATTTCAGATGACTTGCCAGCAACTAGTGTTAGGAAACGTTCAATTTATGGCTTTAACCTTCTGATAAAGGTGTCGCTTAGCTGGAAATAAACTATAAGCAGTCAGAGATTTTAAGAGAGGAAGTTATAGTTTTATAACTACATAAGGTTTGGACAAAAATGGGCAGTCTGTATCTTCTGTCCAAAGTTCGAGGCTGGGTAAAGCTGCTCATTGTTTCTACTGTTTAAAGCGGTTCAGCTTTGACCAGATCAGCGGGGCTTGAACCCATAATCACACAGGTCTTTTGAGAATATTTCAGCTGAAATCAAAAGGAATTAAGAGTCCAAATCAAAGCAATTTAAAACTAATCATTTTTAGAAATCATCCTGTGGAATTTTTTCCTAGCTTCCTAGCTGCAGAAAACGCTTAATTGGGAGTTCAAAAAAGGAAACAAAAGTCCAATTTATTTAATTTGCAATAAATTTAATAAAATCTCAAACCACAGACTGTAGAAAAATGCTCACTCTTGCACATGTTCAAATTTATATGATGCTGGACATGTCACTCCAAACCAATATGACTTTTCTTATGTGGAACCAGGGCTGTAGCTGAGGTTTCCAGGGCCCCGGTGCAGGTTGTACCCATGGGCCCTATTTGAAATTGTGTAAATAGGCTAGCACAAATAAATAGGCTAAATAGAACAAAAATACAAAATAAACAATGCTTTAGTTTTTTCAGGTTTGTCTGTGTTCAGGTAAAGAAATTGAATAATCAAAATGTAAAACAGCATTGCATAGTCTTCACTGTATAAATTACATATAGATTAACTGTTAAATCTACAAACGTTTTTCAATCAAGAGCAGTGAGTGATCTTCTCTCTCTCACTCTTGGAACCCACATCAGCTAGTTTGTTTGTTTGTTTAATTTACTTATAAAGCACACATTAATACAACTACTGTTGCCCAAGGTGCTGTACAATAAAAGTAAAAATAAGTAAAAACATTAACATACAAAAGTTATGTTTAAAAGTACATTTAAAAGTAAAACAGAAAAGTTCAATAACATCCCTCAATACCCAGTAGAATTGAAAGCCTGAGATAATAAATAAACTAACTATAGTTGGAGCTGCTCTAACATGCAGGGGTAAGAGATTCCACAGTCTAGGTGCAACTACCGAAAAAGCCCGGTCACCCCTAAGTTTTAATCTAGACCTAGGAACACTGTGAACACAGAACACAGCGTGCAGGTGCTCATTTAAGCTCTTTCGAGTCTTTTTGTGCTTGAATGGTTTAAAAATCGCAGAAATTTGCCAGGTTTATTTGTTCTTTCAAGAGCAAGAAAACGCAAAAGACAACTAAATTGTGGGCTTGCGCGTTGTCAGAGACATAGCTCTCTGTTCGCGCTATGCGCACAAAACACAATGCGCGAGTATTGAATTGAGTTGTTTTGTGTCTTCTTGCACTTGAAAGATTTAAAATCGCTTGAATGTTTAAATTGGCAAGGCTTAAAAACATGTGCAAATGATAAACTTTTGTGACGAGGCGCAGCAGTGACGAGGCAGGCCGTCAACTGTCCAGACCCTCTTTCACGCTGGCACCGGGCAGCCTGTTCAAATTGGGCCCCTATAATTGTCACCACCATTCTCCCCACTAGCTATGGCCCTGTGTGGAACACCAAAAAAATGTTAGACAGAAAGTTCATACTGCCCTAGGCGGAGAGCGATCCAACTCAAGGGTAAGGATAAATGTAAAGGTAAGAAGCCTAATGTTAGTGTAATCTATTAACTACACACATCATAAACCCTTTTTAAGCAAGTACCAGACATGTTTGTCATGTAGGGCTGGGCGATATAGCAAAAAAATTTATCAACGATATAATGTTTCATATTGTTCGGTATCGATAATTATTGACATTTTTTATATAACCTTTTTTAAAACAAAAAGCAATAGAAAAAAAAAATGTTTAAGTTTAACCACTGTATTTATAATTAACACAATTTATTGAGACAAACAACAAATATTTTTTGTTTTAACAATCAAACACAATAAAAATTCAACAAATATCTAATTTCTAATGTTTTATATGCAGATTAAATAGGTCTTTATTGTATAGGTCTAATTGTCTCCCAAGGCCACAGGAGGGCGCAATGAGCAAAATAATGCAGCGCATTTAAATTGTCAACGCAAGGAAGTAACTCTATAAAAACGTGCATTACATCTAAATTAACTCATAAAAATCAAATATAATTTCATAAATTGTATAAACAATTATGAACAAAACAGCATCATGTATTTATGCATTGCTTAATACAAAGAGCCGAAGCGCCATTCACACAGACTGCATTTAAAAACATATGAGACGCAGTGAAAAGGAATAAACCTCCACAAATTCGTGATGTGTTTTCTAAAAGTTTAAACTGTTTTAACTTTGCATGGCTTTCTATATACATCTCTTCTGTGAGACACGAGTGCAGCAGTCATATTTGTCCGTCTAAAAAATGCAATGAATATGCATTCTGTGTGAATGGCTTGGTTTCGGTTTTAACCTAATCAAGATCTTCTCCGCATTGAGCTTCTATATTTCTCTAATATTTTGAATGAATAACGCAGCAGCGGCGCATCTCGTGGGCTAGACTAACAAAACATTCAAATGCAACAACGTCACTTACATCACTCACCGCATCTCGCGAGCGCCACTGATGACGCTCCCTGATGCACACCTAACATTAAAATGCAAATGTTTATTTTAAATTCGACTAATATTCATTCTTTATTCACAATCTCCTCATCACAGGCAGGCACAGCATTCATTTCAGCATGTGTTCGTGTTTGTGTGTGCTGTCTGCGTCACTCAGAGCACGTGCCTATATCGTGCTCTATATCGAACAATTTTTCTATCGATATCGAAGAAGGTGTACCGTCGATAAATATCGATACCGGTTTATCGCCCAGGCCTATTGTCATGTATTAAAATATTTTTAATACGACACTGTAAGTTACTTACAAGTGTGCACACTGAGCAAAACTCCGCTTTTTGAGCGATGACTCATCTGAACACCTCTGATTTGCCATTGAATTCTTAAACACAACAGACTCGTGTGTGATTGGTTATAAAGCGCAACACTGTAAAACCGCGTAAAAAGAATGATGATGCAACATGAGCAGATCTAAATTTAATGCTGCAATCAACACGTTTCATTTCATTTTCATTTTATTCAGATTTAGTGTGCAGTGGTATTTTTTCCCAAGCCCCTGTTACTGTAATTTTCGCCCCCTGGGAAGGCTAAGCCTTGCCCAGCTTTACACATGCTCTGCCTTATGCATGCTGCTCTTTTCCATGCAATTTAAGTGAATTGATGCCATAACCTTGAAAAATGATTGAAACCCGACTGTAAAAGTAGCGAATAATGACTTCAATTCATCTGTTGTTTTATCACATAAAACTATTGAAGACTTGCAAAATAACATGTCATACAGACAAATTCTATGGTGCTTTTTTTGGCATGCAGGTTAAAAGTCATAGAAGGTCATGCAGGTTAAGAATAAAATGAGGGTGAATAAATAATGTCATAATGTTTATGTTTCGGTGAATTAACCCCTGTACATTACAAACAGGCCAGGACCATACTACAGTACCTTTCAAACGTTTGGGGTCAGTGAGATTTTTTTTTTTAATGTTTCAGAAAGAAGTCTCTTATGTTCACCAAGGCTGCATTTCTGTGATTAAAACATAGTAAAACAATATTGTTTTCTATTTTAATATATATAAACATGTCATTTATTCCTGTGATGGCAAAGCTGGCAAAGCATCATTACTCCAGTCTTCAATGTCACACGATCCTTCAGAAATACGCTGATTTGGTTCTCAAGAAACATTTCTTATTATTATTTGATAAAAACATTTTTGTGGAAAATATTTATTTGAAATTGAAATATTTTGTAACAATGTAAAAGTCTTGACTGACAATTTTAGTCAATGCATCCATGCTGAATAAAAGTATTGATTTCTTTAAAAAAAAATGTCCCCAATTCAAATTGCACTATATATTCTGCTTTTATTATACAGTACATCTTGCTTGAGAGGGAGAAATATCAGCATAAATATACCCAGACAAAAACTGCCATACATCAATACCTTCTCTTATAATACACATAAATGCTTCCTGTGTTTCTCAAACACATATGCATGAGTTGACAACCAATGCAAGTGTTTCAGCAGCAACTTCCTGTCATGTGTCATACCACATAAGAGGCCAAAAAAACCACAGTCGGTCCATCTCCCACGGCAACAGAGCATGTGCTACAGCTCAGTTCTGCTGGCATGTGGCTGCACTCTCTCTCAACTGCCCTTTCAAACCAAATTATACCAACTTCCCCAATCCAAGTCCTGTCCTTAATCACTGCAAGCCAGGTGTTAAAATCTCAGGGCCAAGATTAAGCTACCATACCACGGTAGGACCAGTTTCCTATAGCCAAAAATAACCCAACCTCTGCAAAAACAACCACAAGGCCTCAGATCATTTCAAAAAAGGACCATCAACGTCAACCCTGTTGAGGACAGAGAGGAACTGAAGAAAAAGAAGAATCACAGGCCAACAAACCACAGGCTGAGGTAAAGGGAAACATGAGCCAATTTACTGCTCGCACACAAGCCGATGGGCGTTGGCGCCACACGCGTTTCAGTCATGTTATTTCCGTATGCAAGAACGCAACACGAAAATGTGAAGGACGACAAAGTGGGTGACTTAAAGCTGTACAGAAACTGCGATTGGAGCACGTCTCTAGGGTGGTTAATGTACTTTCCAGATGTGAGTCTTTGGTGAAACAGACAGCAAGAGCTCCTCAGCTGATGTGCATTAGGCCACTGTGTGTAAACACATACGCCAACATCTGAACTGAACGACCACGCCCTCCTTCAGAACCTCTGCGCTGCTATGCGAACATAGATCTGATATCTTTTTGTATCATTACAAGGCTTTTCTTGTCTTGTAAATCTTGTGGAGGACCACATGCTCTGTGGATCTGTGAGCATTTGAGGCCCACCATTTGAAAAGCATCTTGAAATATTTATATCCAGTGAGTTCGGTGTAGAAAACACAGCGTAAAATATTGCGAGTACACATCGTAAAACACAACTTTCTGCAGCTTGACCACAGCTGTCCCATGTTTAAAGTCAATATGATTTGTTATTTGCTAAAATGGGGTCTAAGCAGCTATTTATAGTTTGCATTATCAAATGGAAATGGAAAGTCATTTCGGAGAAAAAGCAAGTTAAGACAACATGAAAACATTTTTTTTTCCTTTGAAATAATTTGCACTTATGAGTCCCCTACAATAAGATGCATTTATAAAGTAAACGGGGTCAGTTTTGGCTTTAAAGAGTTTAATGGCCATCTATAGAGTGCCACAGTAATGAGTCCTAAAACCCAGAAATGAGTCTATGGGTTATACGAATGAGCTTTTGGTTGAATACATAAAATAAGGTCTGTGGTTAACACAAGCTCAACATATTTTCACGTTCTGTTCTACAACATAAAATACATCAGTAATACCACACTGATTTTTTTACGTGTCTTGGAAAAGCTGGTTGCTAAACATTGACTAAATGAGTAGAGGTTGTCGGGGACATTAAACATCATCACACAGAGCGAGAAAATTCATGTATTTACTGGTTCACTTTTACTGCCTCATTGTGTTTATACTTGTGCTCTTGCAAACTATTCTAACTCACACTTTCCAACTAGTGATGATCATGAAGTCTAGCAACAAAGGTGTAGTCAGTTTATAGCCTACCTTTAGCTTTTTACTTCTGTTTTAGGCTTCAAAATTCATGATAGTTGTGTTCGTTTGTGAAGATTATCATTGATCACAGAGCTTATTTTCAGTCAATGGAAAAATCCAATTAGCTTTTTGTCGAGGGAACCAGGGTAATGCAAACATTCATGGTGGTCTACAAAAGATGTCATCCTTGCATCACTCTATATGCTAAGTACTCCAAAATTTTCATATTAAAAATATCATATCATATTAAAATTTACTTTTTTTTTTTGTGGAAAAACAGAGCAAAAATCTTGATGACATCCTGCACTACACACCGTCCAATCAAATGATTTCTTGAATAAGAATGTCCCTCCCCCTAATACTACTTGACACTGACTAGGCTGCTTACAAAAATAAGGGACGAGGGCTTCAATATATCCCACCAAATCTTCCAGTTAGACAAAAAGTCAGCGCTCAGCGCTCATAAATCAATTCCACTGGGTAACACAATAATTAACACCAATCACCAATAATATAAAAGGTCACTCATATCATCATTCTGGCCAAATTTGTGCAATTGCACAATATGCGTGAGAGGAAAAGAGGAAAGATGAGACAAACACTTTATTCAGCCCATGCAAAGGACACAGGAAGCATAGCTGAGCAGCCTGAGGGTATTCTCAAGGGAAACACAGCAGATCTGCAATCTCCATAGTGTGCCATTTGTTGTCTGTCTCCCTGGAAACAACAATCACACTGACAATCATAGGCCATTATAGGTCTATATTCATAGCACTTATAGAAAATCTCAGGCGCATGACATATGTCTGGCTAAAAATATAATTTCTCAGCACTAAGCATTCATAAGCAGCATCAGTAGTGCTGAGAAATTATATCCTCCCTAAAACATTAATGCCACATTTCTGTTCTCCACCTCTGATAATTAATTTCTCAGCGGTTCAATAGAGGCAAAAAGAAAGCATGGGCTCTGCTCTTGAACTGCTGCATGAGCACAGGCACATGACTCCTTACACAAAGGCATAAGGATGCTCCATGTGGTTCCAGTAGGAGCTACAGAACAATGTCTTTCCTACTAGGAAACGGCCAGGATCACCTAAATACCGGCTTTTTTTGTTGAGTAGACTCCTAATTTTGTATTTAAATCAATGCACATCTCAGTGTTTGTATGCACAAGGTTTCAACTGCTGTCTATGTTAAGTGTAAGACAGATGTTGAAGCTGTGCAGGTGTAATTGCCTGGAAAGCACAAGACGTTATGCCTCAGCTCAGCAGTCTGGCACGTGTTTCAATAATAATTACAACGCCGTTTGCAAGAAGCAAAAGTGACTATAAGCAATACCTGACAGCTTATATACATATAAGAGGTCTAATAATAAACGAAAACGGTCTCAAAATCTAATGAGCTGCCTACCTAGACAGAATTGACGTGCCTGTGATGTCAAAAAACGCCGCCTAGATAGGTAGCTCACTGCGTGTTGAGACAGCCTTAACAGATGCGCTGCCCAAAAAGAGAGAGACGGAACGCTCTTGAGATACTAACCACAGCAATGGACGTCCTCACCGCCTCCGACACACTTTGTCTGAGCTCCGCAGCCGTTCCAGGTTTGCTCAACCTTTTTGTGAATTTTCTTACTTCGGACATGTTTTTCCCTCTTTAGTTTGACTTAAGAATAAATTCCATCAGTCCTCATTGCGGAAAGCGACATCTCAGCACGCCAATCTACGCGTCTGACAGAGGTGCGGATGCAGGCGGGGCGGGGCCTCATGGACCAGCGTTAGCTCCGCCCATCACCAGGGGTTGCCTGATATTGAGCAGTCTCTGGCTTTGAGTTATTAATTTAAAAGTTTTAGTTTCGTATTTTACATTTAGAGAGATTCTATGTTATCTTTGGTAATTTTATTCTAATTTTAAGATAATGTGGTTGGTCAATAAATAAATAGTGATGAGTTTTCATTGCTGTGTTCAAGCAACAAAGTGAAAGTCTAGATTTTAGCCATATTTTTGTACGTTTTTTTTTTTTTTTAAGCTAGCCAGGGTTTTACCAATTCTTTCAACAATAAATCTGCATGTTTCATACCTGAATACGTGTTCTTGTGAATATGAACATACATTATGATCATTAAAATTATCATAGGCTGACACCTTGTGGTCTTGGCTGGTATTAAAAATGCACACATTAATGCCACAAACGGAAGAAAAGGCTTATCAATCATATAAAATTGTTTTTAGGTTTAAAATTATGACATAACCATAAGAAATTATATTGCATATATGCATTGTATTTTCATGTGTACGAAATGCATGCTATATACAGGGTTAGTTATAGATATAAAAAACTACATATATTATTTTATATATACACATACATATATATTTTGCGTTCTGTACAGTCCTAGTATTCATCTGACAGCTAGCAAATACATCCACACAGCTGGTTTTAAAGCAGTGGCTCTCAACCTCAAAGCTGGGGTCACTAGGGGTCTCAGCAAACTTCCAGGGGGGGCCCCAATAGCTCTTAAAATGATATCAATGTAATTATATTCACATAATCCTAAATAAAATAACATTAAACTGTCATATTCATAAGCTCATTCAAGTTCATTTATTATTAACTTTCATTTATTATTAACAGAAGCACCAGAGGTGCATATCAACTTAGAAGGCCTTCAAATATTGGGGGCCTCAGAGTCAAAAAAAAAAAAAAAAAAAAGTTGAGAACCACCGTTTTAAAGCATTAGTATGATTCAGAACATGAAGAACGATCACAATAAAATAAAGGCTAAGTTGACATGTGACATGAAAGATATATTTTAAACATCTCTCTGTGTCTCTAGGTCCTTCAGCTACATTTGGTTTTCAGAAGCTGATGAAATTTTCGGCTCAAGCTGGGCCTCCATGGCTTCACGATACTCTTCATATTAACCATAGGACGACCTTTTTTCACATCCTCGTGTCCAACTACAAGATATTCCATTCCTACAGCAAGAGAAAAACAGTCCTATCAGTCAACAAAATGATCAAATTAGCCTAATTTCACTAAACAGGTATCAACAAAGATAGGCCAGTGTTCATTTAGTCTAAAACACTGCAGATATCCACAGAATTCACCCTTCATTTGCATTGCATTTAATTTGATAATACCTTCATCTAAACAAGGTTCTCTGAGGTCCATTTAGCACATCTGATCGTATTTAAATCCATTCCACAGAAATCAGATTGTTTCCCACAATTAACACAGAAATGTGTTATTTATTGAAATGTGGCTTGCATATTTCACATTATAACAAATCATGAATCTGCTAACCTGGGAAAAGTACAGGGCAGGTGCAGCCTCGTGAGGTCCAAGACTCGGGATAAAGAGTTCGAGTTCCACGAGAGAGCCTGAGGCGCGAATGATCCCACAACACCTTGAGAACCTTAACATCCACCTCTGCGTGAGAGCCCTTATCATGAGCATCCAACACTCTCACCTTCACTGCTGCAATCACACAAGAAAACACACATTAATTACATCAACTGAACAGAACATTGAGGTGAAGTGAGTGCACAGCGAGCGTGCTCCGGTCCAGGACTGTTTTATATACTACTTACCATAAACATGTTTTACATTGCAGAATATTTTGCTGCTTCCAAGAGCTTGCTGTTTGCATACACATTTGTCTGTCAAGAAAAGAAATACCCGGCAATTAAAGTATTGGCTGCAAGTTTCTTTCTGTTGCTACAACAACTTAACAACAAGAATGACATTACAACAGCACATGCCTTTAACCCAGACGAGACAATAAACTTTTTATGGGAACAAGACAGTGCTGTTATCAGCTCCAAGATTTCCATGTAATACCTGGATGACTAAGGGCGGAGAAAAGCTCTTCTGTTCGAAACAGATGATTTTCTGCTGTGCTGTTGTGATCTGATTCAAACCTAGACAAGAAATGCCCACACATAAAGCAGACACGCGCATGGTTATATATCTATATATAAATGATATTATAATGTCAGCTTTAAAAGAAATGAAAGTGATAAAAAATGTATTTCCGTATAAAATTGGCATTTATTTTAAATAAAGTAAGCACAAGCACACTTTGAGCAAGAAGTGTCAAAGATGTGTTGAATGCTAAAACATAAACTACCATTTCAAATGAAGACAAATAGCATTTGGACACTTGTCTTACTCTGATTGTTAATGTGATGAACTAAACCCGTGTTTGAACTTGAGGTGAACTGCCGTCATAAAAAAATCACTAAAAATCAGAGACCAGCTGGTGAAATTTTATCACTTAATTTGATATCTGATATATACCAGTGTAGTGTTTATTCATATTTTTAATTAGTTTTTATTTTAATATTTTCAGTTTTCATTTTAATTTCAGTTTTAGTCATTTTGGTCATTTTTATTAGTTCATCAGTGTAGCTCGAATTTATTTTTATTTCAGTTTTAGTAATTTTATGCACTTCAACTTATTTCCGTTAGTTGCTAAAGCAACATTTTTAATTTGAATATTTAATTTATTCACGTTTACTTTATCTAATATTATTTTTTATATATTTTATTTTAAATGTATTTTTATTTTTTTTTTTATAATTTTAGTTAACCATAAAAACACTGATATTAGGCGATTCTAACTAAAAATAAAAATCACAACTGATTTCTGATGGATCATGTGACACCGAAGCCTGGAGTATTGCTTTGCATCACAGGAATAAATTATATTTTAAAATATATTAAATAGTAAGAACATATTCCAAACTTCTGGATGCCAGCGTATATATATTTTTATCTAATATTTGTTCCAATGTTTAAATTCAGAGAAATAAGCAATTTTAACTAGTGACACGGACCGTGTCCATATAGTGTTATTGTGTCGCCTGCTAATGAAGTCATAACCCCTCGATTTCCGGTTTTGTTTTGTAGAAAATATGGAAACACCAAAGATGCTTTAATATGTTGTGTGTTTTAATAGACCGGTGACGACCGCACAGAGTAGCATTATAACAGAACTTTCAAACGTATCTAGTATGATAAAACAGCGCTGCTTTACCCCACATACACATGACCGGAAGGAGCGGAAGCGGTCGACTGTGGCATAATAAAAGCTCTGCTGCTTTCGAGCCGTGTGTCGCGCTCGTTCAGCGGCCTTGTTTCGCTTCGACGGCTTTCAGCCTCACCCTGCTTCATTCTACTACGTTAATAAATCATTAGCTCATCCATGAACATGATTTCTGCCCGAGTCCCGTCGGATTGCATCGGCTGTGGGGATGAAGACCACAACTCCCATGATTCCACACTCAGTCACGGCCTCATCAAACTACACCTTTGCCTCTTTGTTTATTTTGAATACGCGCCCTCTAGCGGAGAAAATTACATATTGTGCCTTTAATTCAGCTTTATTTTAATTATCAAAAATTGTCAAATGTATTTTTTATAGTTTAAGACCGCAATAACAACTGTAGATTCTGAAATTCCAAACAGTAAAAAGGTTCATATTCACCCAATCATACAATCTCCTGTGTAAGGGTCACAATCACCAGCACACTGGCAGGGCTTGCAACCATATTCATCAAAACCCCAGTATCCCAGCATGCACTGGTCACAGTGTGGTCCAGCCACGCCCGGCTTACAGACGCAGTCTCCATTATCAGGGTTACAATATGTGGAACCAGCATGGTTACACATGCAAGCTGCAATTCAGAAAGGAAGAAAGTTACTCAAAACACACACATAAGACTGCTAAATATATTAGTGGTCTTTTCTGAGGCTCTGAACAAACTTAATACGTTTCTCGCTCTGTAATGAATTTCTCAATGACTCAAAATACATAGAGCTCTCCAGACCACAGACCAGACTGATGCTTTGTGCATGCAGTCAATTATTATGAGCCGAGCTGATGTCATCTGATGATTAGTCTGTCTGCCCCCACATACACAATATACACATTAACACTCTTGCTGAGATCCCATCACTGTTCTTGTTATTCTACATGCTCCAACTCGCTGTAAGAGCCATTAGCATTCCGAGCAGGAACAACATTCAATACCAAACATCCCCTCAATGTGTGCACGTGTGTGCGCGCTACAATGTCGGACATGTTCGCTGATCTGGTGAGTTCCAGAATTTTGACATCATCTAAGCCAAGCTGTACATGTAAACAGATACTCAAAAACTCGCACATTTTCATGCACACGCTGAAGAACGATGGAGATCAGGAACGGAAGTGTACAGCAGGGAAATCACAGATACTCCACATGCCATTTTAAGCAGCTTTTCAAAATCTGAGATTAATAGCTTTCATCTTAGTCCACGACACAAATACACACACACACACACACACACACACACTAAACAAATATGACCAAGTACAAGGAACACTGAATCCAATTTTTCCACACTCTGCCAGCTGTTTTATTACTTTAAATCAATAGTGTATAAATGTTCCCATGTTGATCATGCATTTGAATGCTTGCCTACACAACAGTTGTGAGTGTTGCATGATTGTGTCTTACGTCTGCAGGAATCTGGGGCAGTCGTGGGTCTCTCTGGGTCTCTGTAGAAGCCGCTCTGGCAGTGTTGGCAGTGGCGGCCGCTGGTGTTGTGAAGGCAGTCACACACGCCGCCACTCCGCTGACCCGAGCGTAGCCATGCGGTTTTGTCAAAGTGACAGCTCTCTGCGTGTCCATTACACTTGCACTCTACACATTGACAATATACATTTTGGGTTATTACAGACATTAATCAACTCACAGATCATCAGATTTTACTGTTAAAATTAATGTTTTT